GGGTGAGAATGATATTCTTGCAACATAGAAGCAATGTGTTTGGTTTTCTGGTACAGCCACTACCTTGCTGGGAGCTAGTTAGTATGTCAGTTCCCCCTCTGTGCCTCCAATTCCACACTCACCCTTTGTCTGTTTTGTCTATTTGGATTGTAAGGTGGTTGGAGTAGAGACAGACTTGTACTGTTTGCGTACGGTGCTACACAGAACTGGGCCCCAGTCTTGTTTCGGCTTCTAACAGTGTTCCCACATTAGTATGCTGCCTCCTTTTGCTTTCTGCTCACTCCATAATAGCCTTTCTTCTGGTAAATTGGCTCTTCGGCTAGGTCACCATTTTGTTTAGCCCTTTAAAAGTCCAACAGGCAATCATCCAAATGTCTTCTGATGAACCACTGTACAGCTACTGGCTGGTAGGGAAACTACACCCCCGTAACAGGTTCCAGCCCATACACCCGACAATCAGCAATCCAGGACTTCTCAGTTCACATTCTAGGGTGTTTCCCTAGGTCATTCCTTACCAAATATCTTTATTTTCTTGTCTAGTTCTGGGTTTATCACAGAAGCCTGCTGTACTAACCATGAGCACTTCACTCCTTGACAGACTCCTTATACTAGGTCAGGGTCTCCAGACTTATTCTCCCCCTTAGACTTTCTCCTTGTCAGAATCTGTTTCATACTGTCAAATGAATCTTTAGCAACAGGGATTTGTTTCCATATTGTTGTACCTGGTAAGCACAGAAAGTACACGAGCTTTTTCAGTAAATTAAATGGAAAGATTATTGTTTTTGCCCTAAGCAGACAGTACAGATCATTCTCCAGAAGATAAATGGAGAAATCAAAATTCAGCAAGAGATTGAGCACTTGTCAAACCAAATTGAAGGCAGTAGGCAGCAAAATTGGATTTTCTTTTACAATAATATGCAGTTCATATTCTACCATGAATACTGTAATATGTGCTTTCTTATAGAATATCTATGACCCATTTCTAGAACTATTCCTCACATCTTCAGTATATTTTCCTATATCATAACTCAATGCATAGTAATGTTAAGATATTTGATTTGATGAATAGTCTTATGGGACATATTGTCTTGACAAGAAACAGTACACCTAAGATTCTAATGTCAGAAATCTGTAGTAATTCCACCCAACTCAACAGTGTTATTCTACATTTTCAGATAGGATCAGAATCTGCCTCTAAAGAGATATATTGGCCAGATCCTTGACTGATGTAAATTCATGTAGATGCACTGAAATCCAAAGCAGTTATATCAATTTAAAATGGTGAGATCACTTCAAATATAATAAATAAGAAATGTTAGTTTCTTCACAACCTTTAGATGGTATGTAACCCACCAGTGGGGAGAAATGATCTGTAGGATTCAGTTTGTTTCAACTGCAAGAAAAAAGATCCAAGATCTGGACAGAGGAACGTGCGGAAAAGGAATTCACATTGCCTGTAGTTTACAGATGGGAATGTGAGGCATGGAATTAAGTGACTTGCCCAAGATTACAAACGTTGTCAGGGACCGATCCAGGAATTCAATTCAGATCTCCTAGTCCAAGACTAGTATTTCAGTCACAACAGCATTCTTCTTTCTCATTTGTGATGAGACAAGTGGCACAGATATGGATATAATTATTTTTTAAATTAAGATCTGGATTTATAAAATTGCAATCTCCTTACACATATTCTCTAGAAGCAGTAGCATTAGATAAGAGGGCAACAATCTAAAAGGACTATGGCTAGTAAGTAGGTAGGTTCCATTGCCATATGAAGTAGTAGTTTTCAGAAATTTATATCTCCAAGAAATATTTCTTGCTGAAATTGGCTTAAAAATATCACAACCAGAAAACACTGAAATGTTTGAGTCTCAAAGAGTGATAAAAATGCACAAAAAGTTCAGCCTTAGGGAATGCTGTATATGATCCATATCAGATGATACTTAATATGAGCTGAAACTCGCACTGTACAAATTTTATTTAAATGATAGAGCTCAGGGAGCTCAAGAAGTACCTTACAGTCAGAGTGATGCTATCGACTGCTTGCTCAAGATCTCTGAAATATGCTTCTTCAAGAGCAACTAATAAAGCAAGATTGACTGAAGTCCCTTTTAGTCATTCTCTCAATGTTCATGTAAGGCTATTCTGAAAAAGTAAAAAATGTCTTTTTTTTCCTCTTCTGAGTAAGCTAACTGGTTTGATATTTAAGAATGTTCTTACTTCGAGTTCAAAAGAAAAAATGTATACTGAATTCTGATCTTTTCTGTCATTTGAACACACCAAAAATCTGTATCTGCCTCTAACCTTCAATGATGAATTCACATATTTGTGAGAAATGCTTAACTACATTCATTTCTTGATTGATGAAATTTCTGTACAATCCAACGAGGAGAGCCATGGTTTCACCTTACTGGTTTTGTGGAGCATGCGGTGTTGGTTTACTATTTGGTTTTTTTTCTTACCTTCCTTTCAAGCATCATGTATTGCTTACTGCTGGTGGATGTTACCAGAACAATGGTCTCATTTGTTTTAGCACATTGCAAAGTATTTTCCTACATTTGGAAATAATTCGGTCGTTGTAATACTTAATATGTTATAGCCTTATATCTGTTATTCTAATCAAATGGTAAGTAAACAAAAATATCCAAAATGACTTTAGAGTTGGCCCCAAACCAAAAAAATCATGGATCAATTCATATCTGACTGTCTGCCACCAGAAAAATAAAGTGGTTATTTCTGATAATTTATTTTAGCAAGTTATGTATACTCTAATCACACTGTTGATATCCATATTTTAAATGCTTAGATTTCAGAGCTGAGATTGGAGTTAATATTCAGAACCATCCCCTCTTGCTACTTACAGTGGATTGTAGCTGCTATCATTGCATTGAAAGGTCAAAGATATGCTACTCCAGCTAGTTTACATAGCTGGTTGATGTATCTTACATCATGTTTCTGTGCCACCCACACAGTAGGAGACTGATGGCAGCAAATGCTGCCATTGGCTCCTCTATTAGACCCACTAAATCGAACCCCAGAAGCTTGACTACAGCTGCATCGATCTTCTGCATAATGTAAATGTGTCCTTAGGGTATGTCTGTGCTACAAACAACAATCCATGATGTTGAGTCTCAGGTTTCATGAGGTATCAAGATGCAGCTTTGATTATGAGACTTTTCGTCCCACCAGTTTTCAGGGCAGGGGCTACAGCCCAAACAGGAATGTTTACTATGTTATTTTTAGCCCTGCAAGCCTGAGACAATGGTCCTGAGCTCAGTGCTGTGTATTATTCTTTGCAGTGTAAACACATGCTCTTCCACATCACTACGTCTGGACATACCTCTTCCAAAAAGCCAAACTTACCACCTACACTCAGCTTGTTAACTGAGAGATTGGAGGACTTGTGAGGTGCATAAATCCAGTGAGAAAGATGTCCAATTTAAAAGAAGGATAGGTTAATGCAAAATTAGTTTTGGACACATATGTGGAGTTCCTGGAAAATCTTACGGTTTTGCTCGGTTTTGCCTTGCAGTTCCCTTTGAGCACCGAGTGGCTTTTGCAGAAACCAGTGGAAAGGATGTCAGAAATGCAAATCCAAAGCTACACACTGTGTGGGCCACATTTTCAGAAGAGTTCAGCGCATGTATACTTTGAGAATCTGGCGATATGTGTCACAATAGGAACTACTGAGCTCTTCTGAAACTGTCCCCATGTTTCCAATCTGCAAAGTTCTGCTTTGTAAATTAGTGGGCTTAATTCTCCATCTTTCACTTTGTGCAATCGTTTACACCTGTGCCAAGAGGATGTTATTGCCTACCAAAGCAGAGAGGGAGCATTTTACAGCTACTTTGCATTTGCATAAATAACTACACAAAATGCAAGTCAGTAGCTTAATGAGCATGTTATTTTATCTGACAACTAAGTGAAAAAGCCCTGTGCTTTATTCCTCTTATAGTTGGTGTGCTTAATTATGATCTCATATCCACAGTGTAAATGAGGGGCAACTCACTGGAGATGTATTTTTGCTAAAATCATCATGGGTCAGGCAAGGTATGTTAAGTTACAGCATTTGTGGTAAACTATCTTTTAGATCATCTACAATATATGACAACAACTCTTCACTCATCCTATAATAATGTAGATATTCACACGAAGGCAAATGACATGAACTGACTATTGAGCATAAGGAATTTTTGCTCTCTAGTTGTATAAATAAATTAAATTCAAAACTTGTTTTAAGGACAGGGAATGCGTGATTATTGACAATAAGTTATTAAGCTATTTCCCAAAGTGGAGGATGAGAATTATGCCAGAGTTTACAGAAGCAGAAAGCAAGAGCACATGCAGAATCCTTAATAAATAGATCAGTAATATTTTGAAATTAAACCTTATCATTGATTCTTTATGGTGGGATGGATTTTCAGGTCCTGGGAAAAGAAGAGTGTTTCGCATTGTAAGGTATTGTTTCTGTTCCTTGACTGACAAGCAACCCTATAAATCACATTTGAACACATTTTGACAGTGAATATTCTTAAATTGAATGCATCTCATGCTGCACCCACAACAAATGTATTAAAATGAAAATTAGTCTATTATCTGTGGCTCAGAGGTCCAAGTATTATCAAGTCCTTAAAATATTACAGAGATTACATTAGAAAATGTACTAGCAGGGACCTCCTTTCTATACTGCTATTGTTGTCTGCTTAAACGAAGCACACAAGATCTTTTATAGGGAAAAAGGCAGTATGCCGCATTTATTGAGAATACAACAGTTGCATATGCTTTTCAATCACATACACACACAAAACATCATGCATACACAATCCTGTCAGATGATGTCGTAGTTACCAGTCCAGAGTCTGTGTCAATCTAGTGGCCAGCTAGATTGAACACAGAGGGGAGCAGGGCCTTTGTCGGTCGCGAGCCGATGCTCTTCTAGGGATGGTGACAGACGAACCCAAAGTTCCATAGCAAAGCACCCTGCTTTTATAATCCTTTTCTCTGTGACCGGAATGTTATCTTGTTGATGTCAATTGTTCCCAAACATCTTCCAAGGCTCATCCTGTAATCAATCGTCTTTAGGGGTGCCTGCTACGCTTCAAGGCTCGTCAATCTGCCACTCTGCCAATCCTCTTGTGAGTAGGAGGTACACATGGATGGTTATAGATGACTTCTCTGCAGCCAGGTCACCTCGTTTTCTGGCCTTTGCCCATGCTCGCTCACCCCCCTTCTCTGGCCATCTGGTTCTAAGCAATATAACGTTGCATCTTATCTCGACACATTCATACTCCTCTCGCCCACCTGAGCAATGTTACAAGGACTTTTGAAATTACATAGATCTGCATCGGGCAAAGCAAAGAGGCATTGTAAATCAAGCAATTAAGGCTTTGGCCTTCAACGTTTTTCTAATCTTATTAACACAGACACAATACCCAGAACTGTCCTTCCACTTAGGCTCATTTACTAAACTCACTTTTAGGGCAAAGGAATAGACATTTAACTAAAAGGACTTAATTCAATACAATATTAAATGTATATTGCTATATTATTGCTACATTATTAGACTACATTACTATATTGCTAAACCTAAAATACAAATATAACAAAGAATAAAGCTTTCAATCCTAACAGTGTCACCACTTTTTCCATAATGTTTCCTGTCTCAGCCATCCCCCTTCTCTGAGGTAGGAAATCCCCCTTTTCATCTCTCCTCTGAAATTGATGGTTCCACCTTCCTCTGATGATCTCTCCTATTTTTCCACTCTTGATTGGTAGTCTCAACCAGGATGTTCTCCAGGCTTGACCCCTCTAGGTTCTTCAGGAGGGATTCTTCTTCTGACATTCACTGTCTTGTTTCCTATTTCCCCAAGATAGATGAGAATACCTGCTTCTACTCACTGAAGATGACTGGAGCTCTCCTCCAGAGTAGAGGGCATGTCTTCCTCCAAGGCAAACTCAAACCGCTGTCAAGATTTCATAGACCCTCCACAATCACCAGGAAGATATAGGGAAAATTCATGTTGATTTCACGTTCACCTATTCTTTCTTGGCCACTTGTCTACCCAGTCATAATACACATCACATTCTAACCCTTTCAGCACCTGGCCAAAGAATTGTTCACAAACAATATATAATATTTTTAAATAATTACCTGAGACATTTCCAAAGAACAAATTCATCTGAGGAAATCACAGCCTGATTGGATATTCTGGAAGTAGAAAAGAAGGATAAAATCATCAGATTTTTATTTGTTATAAATCTTTTGGTCAGGGCTACTCAGTTAAACACAGATGACAGTGAACCATCTGTCATTCTAAACTGAATAAAGACAATTCAAAATATTGCATGGGCTTTCACTCTGTTTCCTATGCAACCCAATGTAATATAATTCAGGGTACTGTCAACCTCACAGCCTGACATTATGTGATTAGGGTATCAACTAGTGTATACTGATGTAGGTCCATTGAAATTGGTGCAGTTACATGCATTTTCGCCAGCTAATAATCGCCTAAATGTCTCTAATACCCATTTTAAATTAGATTTAAATAAGACTGGTAAATTCTAAATCAATGTAATAGTTTATTCATGACAAGGTACACTACTATAAAGCTGCTTCTAAAAGAACAGGTATATCATTGTAGGACTGAGTTGTCAATGTAAGCAAGGAACTATGAAAGGGAATGAATGCCATTAATAAAACCTAAAAAGTAAATCTGGTAAATACTGATATGCACAAATGTATTTTTCCAGAGCCCAGTGGACAATGATACATAAACAACGCAGCAAAATGAAGAGTATAGAAAAACCTAAAATAACAGATGATTACATACAGTACAAACTTTGAACTTGTTGTAAGAAGCTGTCACATTATCTTCCTTGAAAAGTAGAGTAGGCTATCTGAAAAGAAAACAATCAGTAGTTTAACAGTATCAGAGAGAAGACATCAGTGGAAAAATATTGATTTCGTGGGTCATGGAGCAGGGGTGGGCAAGATACGACTCACAGGCTGGATCTGGCCCACCAAGCCACTGCATCCAGCGTGCGGGCTACCCTGCCAGGACCTTCAGGCACACAGCTACCACTGTTTTCAGTGCAGGGCTGCTCTGTGTGGCTCTCTGCTAAGGAGGGATGGGGAGGCTTTGTGTGATCTCCCTACCCCAACCCAAAACTCAGCTCCTATTAGCCAGAAACAACCACCAATAGAAACTGAGAGATTGGCCTGGAGGAAGAGGGGCAGTGCAAGCCTCTCCCTGCTCAGGCTGAGAGTCACATGGAGGGAGCAGCCTGCAGTTTTAATCAGTCTGGGGCTGCAGCAGGCAGGGAGCCCAGCCTGTCTTGGGGTGTGGCAGGACTGCATGCTGGGAGATGCTTAGGTAAGTGTCTCCCAGCCAGAGCCTGTCTCTGGCACCATTGTCCCTCCTGCACCCCGAGGGTATGTCTACACTACAAAGTTAGTTCGAACTAACTTTCATAGGCGCTACACTAGCGCTCCATTAGTTCGAACTTAATTCGAACTAACAGAGCGCTTAGTTCAAACTAGGTATATCCTCATTCCACGAGGATTAAGCCTAGTTTGAACTTACTAGTTCGAATTAAGGGCTGTTTAGACCCTTAATTCGAACTAGTGGGAGGCTAGCCCTCCCCAGGTTTCCCTGGTGGCTACTTTGGCCAACACCAGGGAAACTCATCTGCCCCCCTCCCGGCCCCGGACCCCTTAAAGGGGCATGGGCTGGCCACGGTGCCCGTGCCAGGTGCAAGCCTGCCAGCACCCAGCCAGCAGACCCTGCACCTGGCACAGATCGAGCCA